GTCCCCAAGTAAAGTCCAACCTCGTCATCATTCAACCTTCTGCTTTCCTTGAACCCCTGCAATGTGTTACATGCATGAGTAGAAGCCCCAGAGTTAACATACTAGGAGGAAAAAGTGACCAACATATTGGTCTCTATGACCTGGGTTCCGTAATTACCTTCTCTCTTTTTCCTGAGGGTTTCTAGATATTAAGGACAATTCCTCTTCCAATGCTTAGTCCCCTTGTAGAAGTAACATTCTTCTGATGACTTGTCTTTCTTTTGCTTCCTTTGCTTCCTGCCCTTTCTCTAAGGCCTCTTCTTGCCCCTATATTTCTTCTTGCCAGATTTACCACCTTCAACAAGCATGACCACTAGCTTGTCCTTTCTAATCCGTTCCTCGGTTCTCTACAACATATTGTTGATCTCTTACAAGCTAACTTTTAGTTTATTCATGTTGTAGTTCATGAAAAACTAATTAAAGGATGTAGGTAGAGAGTTTAAGACAACATCCTATTTGCTGTCGGTTATCTTGGATAAAACCTATCATCTTCATGACATGTTCATGAACCGGTTGGTTCTCAGTCATCTTGGAGGTCATCAACAATTTGAGGACCTTTTGCTGTGTAGAACAATTCTACTCCGCATACATGGTCTTTAAACTATCCAAAATTTCTTTGCAGTTTTCTACTTTGTCAAACTGTCTAGATAGAATTGTCCATAAGGCAATGATGTAACATTGGGCAAGAGAGTTTTTTCTCTTCCCCTTCCTGATACTCCATTATTCTTGCCTCAAAGGTTCTATCAGAGGGGTATTTCGATGTTGGGTTGGTGGCAATTTTGTTCAGTTTTTCCAATGTGAGTACCAAGTTGAGGTTACAAAACCAGTCTACGTAGTTTGGTCCCTTGAGTTTGTTGTCGTCTAACAATTTAGTGAACTTTCCGTGTGCCATTTCTAACAAATTGGACGAATATATTAGTCCACGACCTAATTATTGTTTCACGTTGTGTACCATAGAAAGGACTTTTATCTATGCTCCATTTCCATTTGTTCATCTTTGAGATTTTCCTCTATCTCAAGGATGGAGACATTATTCATATTTCTAGAAATGTAGAAAATTAGAATGAGAATCCTCATCATTTATATATACTACATTCAATTTGACATCATCTACCTCAACATCTATGTTAGGGTTTTGTACACCCTAGGGACTCTAGGCCTCAGTCTCCCCAATCTCGACCTCGATCTCAAGGGCAAGACAAAGTGAGCACTACTCCAACTTTGAGCTCAATAACTCAGAACGAGAATCTAAAAAGTGGGAAGACAAAGAAGAGGAAGAAGATATAACTTAAAGACGAGGAAGGACGTACCAAAGATTTTAGAAAAATTGGTGGAGTCCTTGTCGCTTGGGTCTTCTCCTTATATAGGACCATCGACGACTTAAATTAATTAAGCAACAACGCTTCAGATCTTGCCTTTGACCTAACACTTGCCACGTGTCCCATAATAGAGGGGTCATTTTGACAAACACCTTGGAAAACAAAGTGTCGCATTTTGATAGACAAGGGGAGTTTTTTGTATTTTACCCTAAATTATTTTATATTAGGGCTAAGGGGCAATTTTGTAATTTTAAGAAAATTAGGGTATTTTTGTAATTTTGAGAAAATTGGGTCAAACCGGTCCAGGGGCTTAGACCGGGGTCCTGGTTCAATGATGGGTGGCTGAGATTTTGGGTCAAAGATGGAGGGTTGAGATGGGTCTAACTACAGAGGGGGTTTGTGTTAATGGCTAGTGAGATTGATTGAAATGGAATCTTTTTAAATGAAAGGGAAAATGTGGGTATGTTTGGCTAAAATTTGGCAAGGTGGAATTTTTGGGGATTCTAGGTTGATTAGTGGGGTCAGATTGGCCCGAATGGGCCCGAATCAGGCATATCTGGAAAGGGCTTGATTTGGCTAATCTAGAGCTTCGGAATGAAATCTATGTTCGATGAAGGGGTAAGCGAAGGTAGTTTTGGGTGAAGTTTCACAGGGTAGGGTTTTTGGGCACTCTGATGTGATTGGTAAGGTTAAATTGGGCCAACTGAGCTTGAATCGGACATATTTGGAATTTGGTTAATCTAGAATCTTAAAATGGAATCTTGGTACGATTGAGAGGTAAACAAAGGTGTTTTCGGATGAAATTTTACAGGTGGGTATTTGGAGGTATCTGGGATTTGATGATGAGGTATGATCGGTATTAGAGGTTCACGATCATAGGAATTTGGGTCAATGTGATGTTTTAGAGTGAAATCTTAATTTGACGGAGGGACAAATGAGGGAATCTAGGGTTGAAACTTCATGGGCAGGTGTTTTGGTGTGTCCGAAGTCTAAAGGCGTGGTCTGATCGGTTTGGGTTTGTCAAAATCAAGGTAATCTGGGTTCTGAGTGTTTAGGATAATGAGAGAGGTCAAAATGGAATCTTCATTTGATGAGTGGGTAAACAGGGGAATTTTGAGTTGAAATTTTATGGGTAGGTGTTTTGGAAGGTCTAATGGTTGTGTAAGATCTAGTGGTTGAGGTGTAAGTAGGGGTCGATTGGGGCCATCGGATTAGTATCAGACAGGTTTAACGTTGGATCTAAGGGCTCTCGGGGTGAAGCTTGGGTTTTTTGGGTTTTTGGGTGTTTTGGAGAGGTCCGATGGGTATGATCGGGTGTTAGGGTTAAATTGGAGGTTCAGGTGATGGACTAAGCAAAAATCGGGTGCTCACACTTCAAAACACACAAGGAGAGATAACTAAGCCTATTATATGCCACTTGTTGAATGTGATGTCTGAGCTAAAACAAGTTCGTTGAATCCTTGACAAAGAAACAATGATGATGAATTCAAATGTACGTTCTGATTGGTCAAAGTTCTCTTAGTATCATACCCTTCCACCATTTTAAATATTGCCTTTCACTTAATCTCTTATCGTACTTTATAAACCAAATAATATCTGTATTTCAAAACTTGTCTTAGTTATGATGGCCTTAAACTATGATTTTTTTTTTTTTTAACAAGACCTTTCTAAAACAAAAATACAGTTCAAGAACATATGACAGTTTTATGTGAAGGTTTCTAAAACAAATTAAAACAAAAACATTTCATGTTGTAGAATTGAGATGCAACTTGGGTCAGGTTGGATTTGAAATTTGTCAAATTTCCAATGGGCCTGAACCCTATTTGAGCCCAATGTTATGGAAATTCTTCAAATCATGCAACCCGACTTGCAGCTCTACACCACCCTAACCATCCACTCTAAAATATTTAGAAATAACTGATGGAAATGCTAAAAAATTAAACCTCTCCATATTTATTCCACATTGATTGGCTTGGCAACTATTATGTTTCTTCCAATCAAACACAACACATGAATAGCATATTAGTACATGAATCTATCTTTCTATTCATCAGCTCCAATATTAGTAATTTCTATGATGCCGGAGGGGTATGATAGTAAAAGAAATTTGACTGATCAAAATCCTCTACTTGAGTATTGATTTTTTAAAAACCAGAAATTCAAGAATACATTCTTGGTCTTAGCTTTGGAGGCAAAAAAAGAACATAAATTCTTTTCAGCTTTCCCGGTAAAGCTAGAAGGAATTTTCCACAAGAGACTACAATCAGACATTGGGAACATCTGAATTATTATTCATGGGCAGATGTTTCTGATGCATGGCTGTAGTTTCTCGTGAATAGTGTGCGTAGCATCTTTGTGGGTAGCCGATCGAATTTCAAATAAAAGAGGAATCATCCAAAAGATATTTGAGCAAAAAGTGTCAATTACTCTTGGGTGGTTGGTTGGCAATTGGCATCCCTTTGAGATGTAGAAAGGCAGCATCTCCAAATTGTGAATGCTAATTGGCCCGTATATTCCTGCTAACGGTGCAACTTGGGCAGGCTCATCCAACCTAGATTGACCCAATCTAAAATTTTGCATGAATTGAACTTAGATAAGCTTAGGGCCAATTTTAATACATTGAACTTATTAAGATCCAAAGTATTAGAATACCCCGAAGATTAAGGTCAAAACTATGAAGATTAATTCTCCTAATGGAAAAATGATTTCTCTTCCATTGACATTTGATCTTCAATCCTATTTCTACACTGACTTTTTGGTCAAAATTGATCTCCATTCTCTAACTTACATGGACTCTAGATTTTCCCTACTAGAGTTCTGAATAAGCTAAGGCTCCATTAGTGAAGAGTGCAAATACAAAAATGCATGGTTTATACACCAGCTTTGTTTGTATTTGCATTCAACATATTCACATTTACTCTTCCCAAACGGATAAAATCAAAATGGATAAAAGACAGGCATTTTGCTCTCTAAAAGATCTGAATTGCAACGGAAGGGCATTTCTGAATTCAATATAATCTCTAAGGCCTTGTTCGTTTTTCATAATGTCCCTTACTTGCGTAAGTACAGTTACCCAAGTAAATATTTCCTGGGAAACACAATAGGGTAAATTCACTTATCTATGTTCTTTTAATTCCCAAATAACTTATATAATAACTTTTATACCCATAAAAAGCAAATGTTAGAATAGACAAACTCATCCCATTATGTTTTGTAAACTTTCCCTCCACGTGAAAATAAGATAGTTAACTTATCCACCTAAGAGATGAGTATCACTTATGCATAAGAAAACTAACTTTACCATGGGGCCCAGTGCACTGAAAAACGAACACTGTAAGGACTCATTGACCAACTTTCCCCCTCCTATTTCCCCAAAAACGAATGGGACCTAAAAGCAACATATTGGTCTTCCCTATGCCCATCTAACAAACACAAAGGATTAGAGGCAGCTCTAACGTGACTAACCACCACAAAGATACTGGGAAAAACAGGGCTAAATATTCAATGATTTCTTTCTTATTCATCTATTTGTCCCTTATGCATAATGAATAAACATGGGCATGCCTAGCTATACTATGGTGTCATACCACAAAACTAATTTTTCCAAAATTTAAACGCACGGAAAGAGTAATGTAGATGGTATTGTCATTGGCAACTCCTTTTAATTCAGGTTTGATGTTTGGAATGACTAAGACCAGTGTAGGAAAGAGGAGAAAAGAAATGATAACAGACTGTAAATTGCGAATAACTTAGTACAGCAATGACACCACCATCCAACAGCAAACAAAAAAGCAGAGTAATCCGGTAAAGAACCTGCTTTTGTTAAAAGCAAAGCAACTAAGAATGCAGGCCCACATATAACAAGAAAGGGAGGATGCACATCAATCTCCTCTACTACTACTTCAGAAACAGCAGTCCAGTAAAATAAAACCAGAAACCAGTAGATACCAGAATCAAGCCCAGTACATACCAGAAACCGGAGACTGGTAGTCCTTGTAGTAACAATTCATTTTTGTTTCCTATCTGAAAAAAGAAGACTGGTAGATACACAGGGCTCACATAAAATCACCTTCTGCATTTTTATCTTTCCATTTTCCTGTTTTCTTTGTTCTTTTTTTTTATCTTGATTCTGGATCAGTCAGCTGTCATTGGTTGTGTCATGCAACACCTGAAACGGGCCTTGCGGACAGTAGTCATGATCTCCATCTCTGCATTCTCAAGCATCCTAACAACCTCAGTGAATGGAGGGCGAACCTCAGGGTTGGCATCCCAACAGCGTGTCATGATCTCACTTAGTGCAGGAAGACAGTCATTAGGGATAATAGGCCTGACACCCTTGTTCACAACGGCAAATGCTGCCTGCACTGCTGTCATATTCTGGAAGGGAAGCATGCCAGTGATGAGCTCCCACAGAACAATTCCAAAGCTGTACACATCAACCTTTTGTGTGTATGGCCTATGCTGGATCATCTCTCTGCAATAGCAAACAATAGAAGCACTCAAGTAGCCCCAATTGGAAATTATTTGTAATCAATCAACAACAAATCTGGAAACATAATTTGTTTGGAAACAAAGCAAAATAAACATTCAGCATTTGCAGGAAAAAGAAAAAACACCTATTTCACAACAAAAACAAATTGGAATAATGAAAACAACTGTTGTGTTTTGGATCCTGATCCCAAGAAAAATAATTGAAGGTCAATCAACAATATACGGAGAATGTTTCACCAAAACCAAGTCAATTTGGTTCACTTTAAACTGTCATTTTTTCAAGAATGGAAAGATTCAAAGAACCGAAGGTTGGATCTGCACACCAATTAAACCATAGCTTTCAGACTGAATCTAAACCTGGAAAATGCAAGGATAAAAAATTTCTTACTATCTCTAGTAGCAAAACAGAAGCTTCAAACATCAGTTTGAATGAAAATTCTGGTAAATGTGAAAACGGAATTAATTCATGGGAAGTCTAATGAAAGCTTCCAGGGCACCAGTATGGAGATATTTAAAAAAAAATTGTAAATATAAGATAAACTTTTGAAAATAGTAACAGAAGCATCCATTCATAATAAGACTCAATTTATAGCCATATTAGGAAACATAGGATTTAGTGTAAAGCAGATAAGGTATGAATATTTAAATCTGTGTATACTCCTTTCGTATTTCTTTCTTTTGACTACAAGGAAATTCTTGTAATTGTACTATATTTGCCTTTAATATCAAAGGGCATAAATAATATGCCATCACATAAGTTCTTACTAAAAAATGAACTTTTGAAAATGGTAGAATAAGAACGAGTACACACTTAAAACTCACTACATAACCAAAATAGCTAATTAAATATGAAGAATATACATCAAACAAAAAAAATACAAAGAATATAGGGCTAATAATATACACCATTACATAAATATGCATGAAGAAATGGTAATTGTAGAGAACACTAATGTGGACCCCGCTAAGGTGGTCCCCACTGTTCGTATGTCAGCAATAAGTTATGATTAGGATTAGTTCCTTATGATAAGAAAAGAATTTAGACTAGTCCTAATCTTATCATAAGGAACTAATCCACTGCTGACATACAAACAGTGGGGACCACCTTAGTGGGGTAAACATTAGTGTTCTCTACAGTAATAGAGTAATTTGCTACAAAACAAAGGTGACCCAAAGCTGGTCATAGGTTGGCTACAAAAAGAGGAGAATGGAATTTGGAAATTTGCTAATGAAAAACAGAAGTGGTTGACCCAGGGAATGGAGATTAAGTTGCAGTGGGTAAAGAGACGTGCTAATTCTTTTGCTGATACACTTACAAAGCAAGGAGTGGGAAGGGATACTTTGTTTTGGGCTTTGTAGTAATTTGATTTTCTTTTCAGGGAGGGTTAAGAGAGTTTACCTCTGCCCTTGCTTTCTTGTATCTGTTTCTTTAATGATATTTAATAAAGATTTCTATTATTGATAAAAAATGGTAATAGAGTAATTAACTTTGTATTATAAAGAAATACAAACACAAATTCATTTGAGGATTTATTATTTATCATGGACTTTCTCCTTTTATTAATTGAAATTAAATATCATATTTAAGTTAGAGATTCCTGACTTATAACAAAAAGACATCAGGCAAATATGTTATTTGTTTTAGCCTTTTAGGCTTGGAAAGACCTTCACTATATGAATTTGTTTTGTTTGTCTCTTAATTAATAAAAGAACAATTTCAAATTTCAATTTACAAGCTTCAAAGGTTTTAGTGAAGGCAACTCCAAGTTTTTATCCAATTATCAATGAACCCGGATGCTTGTACATGCCTAGCGTACTGGCATCAAACATGACACATACTTGATACATCATTAGATAATGCACAGACTCTTGTGTACTTTATAATTCTAAGACCTTTGAAATATGTAAATTGGTGTATTCTAACAAATCATACCATAAAAAACCAACATATTTTCATGTCCAATGACACTTGGTGATGTAGAACGGGTAGGGGTCCTACCAAATTAGGATCCGGTGATGGGCTTTGTGGGGATAAATGAGGGGACTGGATGATTAGAGATGAAGAATATGGATGAGAAAGCAAGTAGAATGCACTAAACAACCAGAATTCACTAAACAAGTAGAATGAGACAGATCACTTAACAGAAGAAATAAGAGAAAGAGAGGAGAAAAGAAAGAGAAAAACTTCTGACAACAAACTAAACCAATCTTTATTTCTTCAAATCACTCCTCTTCAAATCCAATTACAAGAGACTCTATTTATAAACTCAATTTACCAACTTGGATGTCTCTTTTCTGACTATTAGGACACTTAAATAAGGACTCCAACTCCTAAATTCTAATAACACTTTCCTAATCCAACTAAAACTACTTTAAATAGTAAGTCCGAGATTTACCGTGAATAGTAATTTCAAAATATCAATAAAAATCTGAAAAACAGAACCCTATTTTTAATCCACAACTAGAAAATAAAAAATAGAAACAGTACTAACATCCTATAACCCAAAAATAAAATTGGTTTGTTTCCCCATGAATACTTTCCTTGCTTCTGCCTCTTGCATCACTAAGCTTCAAAAACTAGATATAGAAGCATGGAAGAAGCATAAAAGGATGTTGAGTTCCATATCCATGTCTTGGATCTTGGAAAATGGAGTTGTGCTCCATTTCCCATAGTGTCTATGTCCATGTTCAAATCCAGTTATCATAACCAATAACCATAGTTCTCAAGGTATTGCCTAAGTGCCCTTGACTGGGTGACCTACCTAAATGCCTTGTTTGTTTTGTAGCAACAAGACTCCCATTAGGGCAACTAGGACCTGCCTAGGCAATAAAAATGACAAGGCAGATGCCATATTATGATATATTGCTACGTTTTATTAATATGTGTATGAATCATCCTTATCATCATAGCCTTGTCCCAACCATATGCATCTTGTTAAATTATGGTCATTAAATCATTTCCTTTTATTCTTACATCTTGACTTGTAGCAACAAGGTGCATGCTTAGGCAACAAAAATGACAAGGCAGGCGCCATATTACGATATCATTCCTCTCACACGCGTGCGCGCACATACATTATATAAAACAGCAGCTCCATCCTTGTTCTTTTTGTATTCTCTACCCTAAATTTATATCGTAGAAAACTATAGCCTCCTATAGTTTCTAATTGATATAAAATTGCTTTTTTAATTACATATTATATTAATATTTTTAAAAAATATTGAAATTAATATATGTCAAATATTTTTATCTTTCAGATATGATGATTTCCCTATTTTGAAAGAAAATCTCATCATCATCCATGTCTTATCCCAACTATATGGGGTCGGCTACATAAATCCTGTTTCACCAATCCACTGAGAGAAAACTTAATATTCTTAATTAATGACGAGAATTGCTATTTTCTGCTGAATGGTATATAAAACTAGGGAACTAGCCAAAAGTTAGCTCTTTATTTTATAAAATTCTTATCACCTAAGTGTTGCCTAGCTGCCCCACTGTTGTCCAGAATCACCTACACACCTTGACAACCATGGCCATAACATGAAAAATATTTGCAAGGAGAAAAAAGAGAAGGGCATGAATCTCCTGGAGGCTAAATAAAGAGAACCCTAGACAACAAACAAATGCAAAGAAACAAAAGACCTTGCCAAACTCAGAATACAGACTGAAACACTCAACTCCTATGCCAATTAAAGATGTAGACCAACATAGAATGTATATCCCCATTGGTCCCCCTGGCCAAAATGTTGGCAGAATGAGGCATTTGACCTTTTCCAACTTACCTTCTTAACAAAACTTAAAGACCCACTATTATCCCCTTTATACACACACACACATCATTTAAAACATACAAGCTTCAATTTCCAAAAGAAATCGAGCAGGGGGTTAATAGGGATCAGCTTTTCTGGGCTCAGTTGTAATTGTTTTTCCTCTTTCTTTGCTGCTGGTTGAGGTGAATCTCTCACCTCTCCCCAGGCTGATTGTATTCATCACCAAACATTGTTCGGAATGTTCCTTGCCTTGTTCTTCAGGCTTTAGGTACTCCTTGTACTTTAACTGCACTTCTTGCTTTTATAACACTGAGGTGTATACAAAAGGAGGCAGATCAAGGGAAAATAAAAAACTAAAACCCATTTACACCCAATCCCTAGGAAAGATTACTTAGTCTCTGATATACAAAGAAAGACTAACAACTACACCCTCAAAGTCCAACACAAATACACAAAAAAAAAAGAAGGAAAAAATCACATACCACAAACCACCACACAAAGATGGTTACCACAAACCTAGGAGATGATTGTCTCCAAGAAACACAACCAAATCACTCCTCCCAACAATAATTAATAAGTATATTTAATCTGCCCTCTTTGGCCCATCTTTGATTCTTCTCCAATCCTCTCTAGATGTATCTACCACCCTTGGGTATTCCATATCCTGCCTTGGGATTCCTTCAGTTTCTTAACTTGCTATTTTCTCTTCTCAATAATAGTTGGCATTTTAAGATTTTTATCCTTAAACATTAAATTACAAACTAAGAATGTAATAATATAATAACCAATTTACTTCTTTAACCTAATGGTGTTTTACCTACACCTTGTTTTATTAACAATGAAATAAATCCATTAAATTAAAGAAAGGAAGACGAATAAGATAAAGTATCCTCGTTTTTTTATCAATAACAGAAAAAAGAATTCATTAAACATGAAGAAGATAAAGTATCCTCATAGAAAAAAGAGCTCATTAATTCAATTACAAAACCCAATTAATGCTTTACAATCCTGTGCAAATTCTAATTAAATTAGTTTTATCACATCATTAATTCTTTCAGCGCCAAGGCTCAATCCATAATACCAGAGAAAATACTTGGCATATTAGCAAAAGAAAAAATCAGAGACATGGAATAAAACATCAACATATTTCCTAATGTTTTTACGACACATTTCCATTTCCGTGGGTTCTGACATGAATGTTACTAGAAT